ATTATATTGCACATTACCGATCGGACTCGTCCAAACTAAAATTTTTGATTTGAAATTTTATATTCTGACCGATTATCTAATTTTCTTTCAATTTCAAAAGACTAACCACATTATTATAAATATTCATAATAATTTAATTCGGTTGTTTTGGTCAAATCGTTTAACTAACTGACTAAAGCATTCATTTATGGTCGGTTTTAGTTTAAGTCGTGATAAAAAATACTATCGATTCAATTAATGTCTGTTAGACTGCATATTAAAACCAAATTCGTGCACGATATTGTTAGATGAAATGCATATTGATGTCTCACAAACTGTACACTATAGCACTCATAATTGGCCGAAATAAATGTTCCGTTCAGAACTTTATATGTCGGTTTGATTATCTTTTTATATTTTCAAATTTTGGTTATTACAGTTTAATGTTAGCTTTATTTCTTTTTTTTTTTTTGTGTTTTAATATTTACATATCAATATTTTATATTTATTCATTTTTTATAATTTAGTGCAAAATATTTAAACCATTAACTTATTTATATTATAATTAAAGTATTTTTAAAAAATGGCAACTATCAACTAATTGATTTCATCCCCAAATCAGCTTCATCATCCCAAAATCGATTTGTGAACAGGGGAAAAAAATCCGTTCGTCGCCTTTCTCTCACTTCAAATCGCCGCCGGCGTTCAGTGTGGCGGACGGTCGGACTTGATTGTTCGTCTACCGGAGGTATTCGATTCCGTTGTGGACCGTGTCGGCCGGGTGTTCGCGGGAATTGATTGTTCGTCTACTGGAATTAATTGGTGGAGATAATTGCAGACGGTGTCGATGTGGTTGTACAGCGGCGGGGCTGTTCACGGCTGTGGCATAGCTGGTGGTGGTTAGTGTCGATGACGGGGTCGGTAGTGTTTAGTGTCGGTGGCGGGGCTGGCGGTGGTTGCCTGGTTAGTGGCTGGAATAGTAGTGATTGGGGCCGGATCTGGTGGTGGTTGGTGGCGTGGCTGGTGGTGGTTGGTGGCGGAGCTGGTGGAGGTTGGTGGCGTGGCTGCTGGTGGAAGCTTGGACTGAGGCCGACGAAGGGACACCCAACCTTCTTCAGGCGGACGGTGGATACTCGGGATGTGAAATCTGCGGCGGATGCGCCGGCGAGGGATGTGGCGGCAGGAGTGTCGCGGCATCGGGCTGGTGGTGTGTGTATTTAGGGTGTATGTGTAATACCCCGTTTTATCATGGCTTATTTGGGAATATATATATATTGATTATTGCTATTATTAAATTGTCTATTATTATTATTATTATTATTATTATTATTATTATTATTATTATTATTGCTATTACTATTATTATATTATTATTATTATTATTATTATTATTATTATTGCCTAAATGTCAAATTGTTATTATTTGTTACTATTATTAATATTAATTGTCTAATTGTTATATTGTAATTAAATAAATAATGTGTTTAATTGTGTATTATTAATAAATAAAATGTGTATTATATATATGTATTTATTTAATTTTTATTTTAATCGTCTATTTAATTAAGAATCGAGCCCGAGAACGCGTTATTATCTCGAGTCCGCACCTTAACCGACCCGCGAACTCACCAGACCCGGTTTTCTTTTTTCCCCGTACGTGTGTGATGTCTCGGAAAGCAAGAAATTTAACCTAGACCAAGTGTATATATATATGTATAAATATGCCCTGGTCACCATCTTCATCCGCAGACCCTAGCTTGAGACTCTCTTCCCCGCAGCGCCTCCATCGGTCATCTCCTTCACCATAATTCACTGACCACAATCACCATCGACCTCCATCTTCAATTGCAGCACCATCATCGTCCATCATCATCATCTGATCGCGACATCATTCCGTTCGAACTAGTAGCAGCACCGTCGTCATCTTCCTCGCGTGAACTCAGCCACCAGCAGCATCATCGATCGACATCCGTCATCATCGACCCCTCATCATCACCTTGCTGCAATCACCGCGAAGCTCCACCGGCGACCTCCTCTTCTCAGCTTTCGGGACCCGTCGAGTTCCGTCAGAGAGTCGAG